CATACACAACCAAATACTGTTTGAATTGTCTACATGACTGTATAAATTACAATAATTTTATTTACTTTAAATTACACAGCCTTTAAACATAAATGTACTTTTAAAAAAAGTTAATAATTCAATTGTTTAACCTTAACCTATCCACGTATCGTATCCCGATTATGAAATTTTGAAAAATTCATTGTCTTTATGTTTTGTTTATTTATTATAACTCTATATTACGTTATCATACACTAATGGAAGGTTAGATAAGTACATAAGTCAAATTATTGATCTGGTCGTGTGACCTAAACAGTGGAAATCAATAGTTTTGCGAAGAAGAGGGTGGGGTGGATAGACAATATTAGAAAGAGACAAGGAGAACGGATCGAAAACAATGCATCCATACGCTTATTCATATTTAAAAAAGGAACATGACACAGCTATCTATTGTTTGTGGCTTCTATTATTAAAACTTTTTTTAAGCTGACCATGTGGTCACTTTAAATAAAAAACTCTTGAAAAAAAATTAGACTCACTTGAAATTGTCACTTAATATTATGGCGAAATCGTATTTAAAAACGTTGTCCCTAAACGCTTCGCCATATATTAATAACCCTTAATCTTAAAAATTATTTTTACGAAAACTTGCTGTCACCATTAAAGAATATAATTACAAAAGAGTCTTAAATTTTATGTCATTTAATGACTGCGTACCTACTTAGTTAATTGTTTTTCTATGAAATCATTATAAATCACTACTTAAATAAGTGTTTTGTATGACTAATAAATTCCCCATTCTATTCAGTTTTCGATGTGTAGATTTGACATTTAGATATTTTACTTTCAATATTCAGTGAAATGCTCAAAAAGAGTTTCGTAAAACATGATTAAATTCTTTGGTGTGTATTCATTTCGTAGTCATTTAAAAATAAACAGCGTTCCCCACCCTCCCCAGGTCATTGGTCTTACAATGACATAAGTTCAAAGTCTCAAAGGTTTCTTGAATACCTACCTGCTCCGCCATATTTTTCGTGAAGTCTGAACTGAAATTATCTACATGAGGCTCCCACGTAGCTTTAATAGTAGGAACCGATAAAAGATAATGATTCATCGATATCTGTGCAAATAAATAAAATTGAAGTGTCTGTTTGTAATGTCAAAATAATAGGTTTTTTCATGCTCACACAGTTATTTCCACGATACCCTATGCCTAAAAACCAGTTAATGAAAAAATGGTCTTTCTTTTTGTCTGTTTGTTCCGGGTAATATTTAAAACGGCTGAAACGATTTTGATTATATTTTACTACCAGGTAGCTGTCTATATATGGAGTAACTACCTTTTAAATAAGTTTAAATAGGATAGCAAAGTAAAAAAAAATTCGAAAGAAACTTTTAACTTTTTGAGTTAATATTGAAATAAGGTTACTGTCATTTCTCAACCGATAAAAGAAAAAAAGTCATTTCAAATATTTACGCGCCAAATAATCGCGCGATTTCGTTCAGAAATGTTTCAGTATAATAAAATTATTCTATTAACAGAAAAATGTTACTTAATGTTTAACACGCTTTTATTAGCTTGATATGTATTTATGTAACGGAATTTAAAACGTCATTTTAACCCACTTCAAAACGTCGAATTAAGTTAAAACTTTGCACATTTATCAACAATGCAATAATTTAAATAGTTTGTCCCATTATCCTGATCAGGAGCTTTATGATTACTGCCTTTTTCATACCTATGTTATAAAACTGCCACGTAATAAGGAGTGTGATGAAGCACATGTGTAGTAGAATAATTTTAGAATACTGCAGCGTGGTATAGACGCCTCACTTTGCAACATTCCTTGCGTCTGGAGCGGGTACAAAAACGATTTATGTGGCACCTACTGCCTAACTGCAATAGAGTTGAGACAAAAGCCTCATATAGGAAAAAGCTCCATAATTTAAACATGAATTAGTCTATCTAGTCGTAGAGAATTGAATGATTGTACCCGTCTCAATCCCCCACTAAAAAGGTCGGTTAAGGTCGACTAGTAGAAAATGCCTACGGCATTAAGTCCGCCTGTGTCACATTTGTGCATAAAGTATAAATAAATAAAATAAAATAAAAAGTAACTGTAATTTGTATACAAATTAAATTAAAAAATAACAATAATGTGTGATAAAATTACTCGTTATTTTTTTAGTCTTAATAAGAAAGTAATCACCATTAATTTTTAAAAAAGGTAAACTAAATTATAGTTTAAAAAAGCTAAAAAAACACACTTTGGTAATAATTTTCTATACGTTCAAAAGAAAATCATTTTATCGTAAAAAGGGTTGCTTTTTAAGGTATTTTATAATATAATAACTTTACTTTTACCAATCATCATCATCATCAACAGCCTTTAGTAGTCTACTGTTGGTCTTTGACAATATCTGTCAGTAAAATATTATTACAAGAATTGAGATTTAGCACGCCACGCTTTTTTTCCGATAAAATAATTATTACAAAATCAAATCGGTATTTCCGGACCGATACCACCTTCACACCTTTAAGAAAAGAGCGTACTCCTGCCTCAAGGGCCGGCAACGCGTTTGTGACTCCTGAGTTGCAGACCTGACCCGCCCGCTTGTTTGCCTCATATTCCAAAAAAAAATCACATCATTAAAAGCAATCGTAAATATAGTAGAGGTGTATCGTAAAAATAAAAGTCGTGCTGATAGTCGCTAAATTATTACTTTATTCTGGTTAAAATGACAAATATATGCTAATTTAGGGACTTGTATGATTAACTGGACTTGACTGCACGGATGGCGTAGTGGCTTAAGCGGTCGCCACGGCGCTACTTCACTGTGTGTTGTGGCTCCGATCCCCACATGGGACGACACTTTATGTGATTCAATGTTATACTATACGCCGAAGCCAAAATAAATTTTGATAAGAAATACTGATGATTATGAGACACATGATAATAGGTTTAAAAATTTAAAGTATAAACCGAAAGCATTGTACGTAGTAGTACCTACACTGTTTCAAACTGATTAATGAACGGATAACTAAATGTCATCATAAACAGTGTGGCCAACCTAGTGGATTTTCCACTGAAACTGGTGGTTCACCCACCTTTCATTGGCCAAATATTGCTTTTAGTGGCAAGATGATTTTTTTAATAGTTTAGTAGTAGGTAATAGTAAGATTATAAAGAACGTCGGAGGTAATGTTGAAAGATAAACGGTCAGTGTTTTGTGTGTTTGAACTGTTTGTGTACGCAAATTCCAAGATTGACAGAAAAGAGACAATACAACATTGGGACAACAAGATAATTGACAAAATTGTTTTGTTGGTTTGAAAAATTTAGCGATATTGTTTAGGGCCCGACTTCATTTGGTTTGGTTCTTCTGTTACTCAACTGGATGAGTTGAGTAACAGAAGAGAAAAGAAGATTGATACCATTCAAACCTATGGTCTTTCTAAAATCGGACTGTTGTTGTATACTTGTACCTACACTACATAAATACGTATAATCTTTATTCCGTTAGGCACAAATACGAACAACAACTCCGCCAAAATCAAAATTTGGAATAAAATATTTCGGAGTATTGGGTGATCTCGTTGTTTACCAATGCCCACTGTGTTAAAGAACCTATAAATACTAGAAGTGTTGCACTTCAAAGATGCCGAAAGAAATTTGAGCTTTGAGGAATTATCGACTTTTGCTATTACTCTCTCAATTACTGTCTCATGCCGATGTTGAGAGACTATTGAATAGTGTGAATGTTATAAACAAGCAGAAGAATGTAATGAAGTTAAATCTTTTATCTGCTATGTTAAGAATACGCTGTGTTTTGAGGTTGAAAGGAAAATGCTGCAACGAATGTGACATTGTAAAACAAATCGGTAACAAAGGATCGTATCAATCTGATTTCATCGAAAATGTTGCAGACAAAAATGATTCACCAGAAGAAGATGATTTAATTATGAATTAATTTAAAATGATTAAGTGTGTAACAACAGTTACTTATTTTAAATTAATTTTATGAAAATGTTTTGTATTCCTGATATTGACTTGCTGATTTACTATTTGTATGTAGGGACTAATCCCACCCACACGCCCACCACTGTAACTCCTGTACACCAGGATCCACAGCAGTGACCCACGAACACACCGAGTTATGACACTCGGGAATTCCCAGGAAGAAATTAAACTGTCTTGGAACCCACAACGAAATTAATCAGAAGAAAATTGGAGTTGGAAATACAGTAAATCCACTTACTATTTGTATGCTGATTTATTGATTGTAAGTAATAGTATGATTTAATCATAAAGAAAACTAATCATTTATATATTTGAAAAATCAGTTCGGATCTCCGGCTCCTAGGGGACGCAGGAACCAGGACTATATGGTGTTCCCACTAAAAACCACCCCACGGCCTGCCTCGGAGCAGAGGTTTCGGAGTATGTGATTTCGCCCCCCCCCCCTCCGGATCAACGCCGCATCTACTACGCTCTATCTCTCGTTTATCACTAAGACTAAAAAAATCTTTAGTGAATCATTTGGCGACTTTTAGATTATATAAAATAATGGTCGCTAAATTTTCACCTAAAGTTTTTCTAGTGATTAAAACCAAAAACACGAAAACCCTTAAACCACGTATTGGTTTATCTTGGGTGTGAATTTACATTCCTCATTCCTTTCTGTTTCGTTTAAATATTTTAAGATGTTGAATCTGGTGGAGTTAATGAATTTGTTGGCAATACTGATCAAAACTATCAACACTGGAACGTCAATAATATTTACAATTTGTCATGACACATGATTTCGTATAAAAAAAATCAAATAATGCGAAATAGTGCTTTGTTTGAAAGCTTCATTTTTATCTTACTGCTTTAGATAAATTCATGATAGAAAACGTACAAAAACGCACGCTTCAAGTGTAAATAAATTGAGTTTTGATGTGAATATTATTTAAAATATATTCTTAATCAAACCTTGGGAAAAACACAAGTTGTTTTTTTTTTAATTTTTGGACTAAGATGAGTCGCTGTGATATTAAAGTTGTGTTATTAGGCAGTGAACATGTAGGAAAGACTAGTTTAGTTCTAAGGTACGTGAATTGCCGGTTTAATGCAGATATTCCTTATCAAAATGTAAGTATTTTGTATTTTTTTTTGTCTGCCTTTGTTATAGTGAGCCTAACATAAACACACTCCCATGGTCGTAACTTAAAAATAATTAACTTCTATAATTAAAGTTTTAAAGTACCTTAGAAACTGTACAGAGTATTCTTACAAGGACAAATATTGTAAATTTTCAGAATAATTAAAAAAGAAATCAGTGTTTCCTTTGTAAACAGATTTTTTTTCTTTATTTTTTAATTTTTTAAAAATTAAGAATACAACTGTTAGACCCATAGAGTTATAAGTATGCTTATATCTCTATGATTAGACCAGAGTTGACATTTGAATGTTTCCCACAGAAACCTACCTCTGAAAAAAATAATTGGTTAATCTGGCCTGTTGGTCTAGTGGTTAGTAATATTTATTTATTTATCAACTTTATGCACACAAGTACAATGGCGGACTCAATGCCATAGGCATTCTCTACCAGTCTACCTTAGTCAGTAATATCAGATTTTGATTCCCATCCAGGACCAGTGGCGGTCTTAGTCATTGCGAGGCCCTGGATCGGTAGATCATTGCGAGGCCCTGGACGGGTAGATCATTGTGAGGCCCTTGTTTTTGTTGACTTAAGATGTCAATAGTTGACACTGGAAGCCTGTCCAAGTGACAGGTAGTATGAAACAACGAGGATCCCCGAACATTTATTTATTTTTATTTATTTATTAAAAACAATTACAGTGTTTTTACAGTTACATAAATCAATGTTAGTTGTATAATGCGAGGTGTAAGGTATGGCTCAAAATTCGAATGCACGAGGTCCTAGGCAGTTGTCCTGCTCACCACCCCCAAACCTGCCCCAGGACAAATAATTGTGTGATGAGCACAATCATTTGTTCTGTGTCTGGGTACATTTATCTACAACAGGTACATATTTATAATATCTAAGTATGTTTATCATCAGTCTGGTTACCATAGTATCATCAACAGCCTATACTAGTCCACTGCTGGACATGGCCTCTCCTTAGAAAGGAGGTTTTGGCCTACTATACCACGCTGGCCAGACGGGTTGGTGTAGGGTTTGTTTCAAGTTTTCCTTCTCTTTGCAGTGCTGTTGTCCTGCTTAGTTTGCTCTCTTAGTTGGCTCTTAGTCGACACCCACGGGTCCGTGTGGTGACGGATTAAGAATACAAATTGTCACCACCCCAATTCACCATAGTATAGGCTCTGCACAATTTATTATCAGATTTAAAACGGTGGGCTACTCCTGTTTGGGATTACACTATATCTGTTGTTTTTTTTTATGTTGTCTATGACTCTTGTACTAATTTGGCTGAGTATAATTGAAATCCCACTTGTTTTGGTTTTGGGCTCTGATTTCCAATTTTCTAGAAGAGGTTGGCTAGGTGAGCCAAACGAAGCTCCTTCCAGAAGCGCAGAAGCCTCTTGGGAGCTATTTTGTACCAGGTATGGTACTTGCCCGTTGTGAGGCCATTCCCTCGCATTCTCCACCTAATAGGGGGGTAAGACTAAACCTTAAGGAGGATTAAGGAATTATTATTGACTGCCTCAGTGGTGCAGTAGTTCCTGGATCGGACCAAATGTTTTTATGAGTTTACATCAGTCTATTTTATTTTCATAGTACAAGTTCTGCTTAGTTTGAAACTAGATGGCGTTGTGTGTCAGATGTCTCAAATTATTTGAGCTTCAGGTATTCCAGTGGAGTTGTAGAAAAAAGTGGACTATATTTAAAAATAATGTATTCCGATGATGTACATCTATACTAATATTATAAAGCTGAAGAGTTTGTTTGTTTGAACGCGCTAATCTCAGGAACTACTGGTCTGATTTAAAAAATTCTTTCAGTGTTAGATAGCCCATTTATCGAGGAAGGCTATAGGCTATATATCATCACGCTAAGACCAATAAGAGCGGAGCACCAATGAAGAATGTTTCAAAAACGGAGAACATTTATTACTATTGAGAGACGCAGACGAAGTTGCGCGGGTCAGCTAGTACAATATAAAAGAGATAAATTTCTAAGCGTAACGCTTTGTAACGATGACGTAACGTAAGCGTAACGATGGACCCGCCATGGATTCACCATGCCGAGTCCATCGCGTGATAGATGATTAAAAAGATTATCTCAACTGTATCGTAATCGTTAAGTTCTTTTACAAAAACTGCATGCCTATGGCACAGGGAGAAAGGGGGGCAAGTTATTGTCAAACTGGCTTGAATCGTCTTTTGCAACATAGACCCCAAAGTGTAGTTGTGAATGTTGACACCATGTTTTATGTTTTCAGACAGTAGGTGCTGCTTTCTGTGCGAAGACAGTGCGTGCTGGCGACAAAGACTTCAATATTGGCATCTGGGACACAGCGGGGAGTGAGAGGTATTTTGTTACCCTATCTATATATATAAGAGATTTCCACGTATATAGTCACTCATCACGATATCTCTGGAACCATTAGAGCTAAAGACTTGCAATTGGGTAGGAATATTCTTTTCACCGAGCTAAGAACGGATTTTAAGAAATTAAAAAAATAGTTTTTAAATAATGTAAATAGCAAAACAACGTTTGCAGGGTCAGCTAGTTTTAGAATAAATAATATTTTATTTAATAACTAGCATACCCGGCAAACGTTGTTTTGCCATATACATTATTTGTAGGAAATATTGAAAAAAAAAACATTTTACGGGTGGGTCACCATTGTCATTTAAGGGTATGGAAAACAGATGTTGGCCGATTCTCAGACGGTGCAGCCGTTTCGGAGGAGTTTGGTAACAAACACCGTGACACGAGAATTTTATAAATTCGATAACTAGCTGAGACCCGCGGTGTTACCCGCGTTTGTTGTTATAACCGCGGGCAACGCCGCGGGGCTAAGCTAGTCTAAAAAAAGTAGCCTCAGTTACTCCTTATGTCATCAGCTATCTGCCAGTGAAAGTCCCGTCGAAATCGGTCCAGCTGTTCCAGAGATTACCCGGAACAAACAAACAGACAGACAGACAGACAAAAATTGTAAAAAATGTTATTTTGGCATATATACCGTGTAAACATACATGTGCATTTAGTAAAAAGCGGTTATTTTAATAATACAAACAGACACTCCAATTTTATTTATTTGTTGTAGTTGTTATAGATAGGCCAGCGTGATATAGTAGGCCAAAACCTCCTTTCTAAGGAGAGATCTATGTCCAGCAGTCGACTAGTAAAGGTTGTTGATGTGATGATGATGGGATGGGATGATGATGTGAACCTGACGTAGTCCGAAAACACTCGATACATACCTACATACTTAGTTACATACCTACATACTTGATGAAAAGTAACGACTTTATAAAGCAAATAAACATACAACAAATGTACAAAGGGTGGCCTCATCGCTTAGAGAAATTTCTTCCAGGCCACCTTTAGATGGATTGGATTCATTTGAAACTGATAATAGGCATATAAAAATAATATTTAATAAAATATTTAATTTTATGAAAGATGTCTGCTTGCTGTCTTGACACTTCGAGTTCCCAGGGCGACAAATTATAACCTCACACAGTAGACGCACGGCAGTCTGATCCCAAACTAGGCAGAGCCTGTGCTATGGTAACCAGACTGCTGATAAATATACTTATATATTTCTAAATACATACACATTATAGATAAATTAAACCCAGACACAGAACAAATGATGGCGCTCATGGTGGGAATCAAAACTTCTTCTTACCTCCATGGGGAGACAGCCCTGATTATAGGTAGGTCACAGTTGACCATTTACATCAGGTACCACACCATCTTTCCATTTCCAGGTATGAAGCCATGACTAAGATATATTACAGAGGTGCACATGCTGCGATAATCTGCTATGAGCCGTCTTCGGTGGCATCTTGGAACAGGTTGAGACATTGGCTTCAGGAGTTGAGGACTGTGGAAGAGGTGAGCGAAATCTCCTGTAAAAGTCGACAGACAGTGGGAGATTTGGTATTCCAATAGACCTGACATGGCGTAGAGCAATGATTCCCAAACTATTTAGGAAAAGAGACCCCTTTTCTAACATGCACCGATAGCTCAGACTCCCATAGCCAAATTACTGCGCACTTATTCACTGGATGAGTTTTTTAAAAGTAAAACAATGATATTTCCTACTAAAATTTTAGTCATTCTTATAACAAGTACATGGTACATGTAACACAACTAATGCAGTATTTTGAAAGTTTCAAATAAGAACTTATTTTAACTAATAGGGGTGTTGGACTGAAACTTGTGTCGATTAGACCTCGTCGATCGCCAAAATCAGTATTCGTTTATGTCGAGAAACCGAATTCGACCCCAAGGGGTCGACCACTTTGGGAATCCCTGACGTAGAGCATTCAGTTGCAACGTTACAGATTCGATTCTCGCTTTTGGATTTTATGTATAACTTGCGAAAAATTCTACCGTAAGAGAGTTATACTGCCGGATTGACGCCAGGGCCTCACTTAATATCGGTAATAATCAATTCTTTTGTTGCTTTTCACCGACTGAGTGACGTTTCCGGGATGCGATCGCCACCTCTCCTAAACAGGAGTTTATAGGGGGTCCGTCGGGGTTCCAGGGATTGCCTTCCTAGGGTACACCCGTGACGGCGTGTGGTTTTTGGTCGGTACATGTCTGACATAACCACCGGTGGCTGTTGTGGTTACCATCAGCTGATCCTCGGCCTGTGTCTCATAGCTAACCTATCCCCCAATACCAAAAAAAAATCGGTTGTCTGTAAAGTCGGTTTACTGACGATAGTTGAACGTGACAACGTCATAAGAAAATACTGATGGAATGGTTGCATTTTTCAAAAATGTATTATTGTATACGAGTATCAGCTGTCTACGCGGACGCATCGCTCACTCAAGTAGGAGAGAGACAGATGTCGAACGCTGCCGAACGCGGAGGCCGATTGTGCCTCTTTGTCACTCTTTCCGCGCTCTCGCTTGCACTTCACGCCTTAAATGGAACGCCTCAGAGCGAGGTAACGCCGCATGAGTCATGTTTTTTCGTGCGTGCAGCCGGCTCCATCGAATTATAAGACGTTGTCACGTCAAAAACAGACATAAAAATTACACTGAGGCCGCTATTAACGAATAACTTACGTTTACAGGATTGCAAAGTATATCTTTGTGGGACTAAAAAGGACCTACTGGACTCAGGATACGTCTCCCGTGAAGTGTCTCAAGATATAGTGGCGACATACTCTCAGGGTTTATGTGGACACTTCCTCACTTCCAGTAAGACTGGCGAAAATGTCGGTAAGTGGAACCACTCATTCCATCTTTTCTATATTGAAAAAAAAGACAGCTCCAGCACTAGGAATATATCCTGTGTCGCTGAAGACTACAATCCCACATGAAACGGACACAAAGAACACGCAGACTCCGAACAATAATTTTTGAATCACCGGATGGCGTAGTGGTTTGTGTAACGGTTTGCTATTCCAAAGATCGCGGGTTCGATTACCGTTCAAGTCAAACATTTGTGGTCATGAACATTTCATATTTGTTTTGGTCTGGTTGTTTCTGTGTATAATATGTATGTATTTACAAAAAAAAAGTAAATGTGTATTTATATCAGTTGTCTAGTACCCATAGTACAAGCTGTGTGAATGTGGTAAAAAAAAAGTGTTCACATCACATCAACAGCCTTTAATAGTCCACTGCTGGACATAGACCTCTCCTTAGAAAGTAGGTTTTGGCCTATTATGCCAAGCTGGCCAGACGAGTTGGTATAGGGTTTGTTTCAAGTTTTCCTTCTCTTTTTTGCAATGCTGTTGTCCTGCGTAGTTTGTTCCCTTAGTCGGCTGTTACGTCACCCACGGGATGAATAGACCCCTATTCACTGGTGAATATGACCAGTGAATAGGGGGTCTATTCACTGGTGAATATGACCAGTGAATAGGGGGTCTATTCACTGGTGAATATGACCAGTGAATAGGGGGTCTATTCATCCCGTTGGTGTATAAAGTACAAAATACAGAGTTCTGTATTCTTAATCTGATACCACACTTAGTGTTATCCCATATGAGGATCCAACGAGAATATAGAACTCTGTATTTTGTACTTTATACACCAACTGGATGAATAGACCCCCTATTCACTGTACGTCATGCGTGCAGTTACCACGCTGAGTGTTGTGGTTTCGATCCCCACATGGGACGACACTTTGTGTGATCCACAAATTGTTGTTCTGAGTCTGGGTGTTCTTTGTATCCGTTTCATGTATGTTTGTAAAGTCCCCTGCGACACAGGATATATTCCTAGTGCGGGACTTGTCTTTTAAGAGAAAAAAGTTAAGAGAAGAGGAAACCCACAAGACTCAGCGCGGTTGGAAGCGGCGAGGTAACCGCTTAAACCACTACGCCATCCTTGCTTTAAGCAAGTGGGTTATATTACCAAATACTCTTTGTTAATTCTTCTTTACAGACGAACTCTTCCAGAAGATTGCCGACGACTGTGCAGCTGATTTAAAATTAATGAAAGAAGTAGAAGATTTAAGAGTGCAGTTAGCGAAAGACGAGGCGGCTTATAGAGTTAAGAATAATAACTATTGTATATGCTGATAGAAGAATACATACAGAAGAATTATTATGAAAGAAGAATTCAAGTCGAGATAAAAATTGCCATGTACGTTTAGAAAAACTTATTTTTTTAAAAGACATTTTTAATGATTAATTTGTTTTTAATCATCATCAAACTAGGTAGGGGTTGGCTTTAGGTCTTCAACGATACTGCTGATCTTCGATTTGTTAGGTGGAGCGTCTGCCTCCAAAACCCAAGTACTAGGCGATATCGAAGTTCCGTTGAAAGACTGTTATTGGACCTTGGGGCTCCCAACTAGCCGTAACGATTGTTACCGACTTCAAAAAATGAGGAAGCTCGCTTGTATATATTTTTTTATGTTTAATACCTTAGAAAGCCCTCATTTAAGAAGAATCTCGCCCTCTTTTAAGAATAAATTTGAAAAAAATGTTTTTGATATTTGGAGGCGTATTATTCCTGTGTCAAATTTGAAAAAAAAATACCACATAAATCACCAAGAGCCTTAAATAGTCCACTGCTGGATATAAGCCTCTCCTTAGAAAGGAGGTTTTGGCCTACTATACCACGCTGGCCAGACGGGTTGGTCACAAAAATCAAAATCACGACCAAATTGATTCATCCCGTGGGTGTCGTAAAAGCCGACTAAGGGAGAAAACTACGCAGAACAACAGCACTGCAGAGAGAAGGAAAACTTGCCACAAACCCTATACCAACCCGTCTGGCCAGCGTGGTATAGTAGGCCAAAACCTCCTTTCTAAGGAGAGGCCTATGTCCGGCAGTGGACTAGTAAAGGCTGTTGATGATGTATTTAAAAATATATAAGTATATTTATCAGCAGTCTGGTTACCATAGTAAAGACTCTCTAGTTTGGGATCAGACGGCCGTGTGTAAGATGTATCAAGGTATTATTATAGTTATTTTCACATTCACCATCAAGGGAGCCATATACTGGTTTGCCATACTGTATATATCATAACAAAATTTATAATACAAGATTTATTCCAAATTGTTAGAGCCATGGGCGTAGCTAGCCATGGGCTCAGGGTGGGGCAGAAGTCTAAAATAATATGTAACTAGCAAACTATACCCGCGGTAGTACCGCGGTTTATTTTTTCATACAAAAAGATTACACCCTATAGCACCCTGTATTCCGTACTCGTATGTATAACCAGCTGACCCGCGCAACTTCGTCTGCGTCTCTCAATAGTAATAAATTTTCTCAGTTTTTGAAACATTCTTTATTGGTGCTCCGCTCCTATTGGTCGTAGCGTGATGATATATAGCCTATAGCCTTCCTCGATAAATGGGCTATCTAACACTGAAAGAATTTTTCAAATCGGGCCAGTAGTTCCTGAGATTAGCGCGTTCAAACAAACAAACAAACAAAATCTTCAGCTTTATAATATTAGTATAGATTTGAATTATCCAAAACATTTTTTTATTGTTCACCTACCTACACCACGAAATCTTCCATCCAAAAATGTGTGTCTAACTTCAGCCGTTTGGGCTCTGGGCATGCCAATTTACTACCTAGATAATTTATTTTTTTAGGTTTGCTTAGGTACCTTCAGGTCAGAGCCATGGTGGGGCAAGTGCACCACCCTGCCCTATCGTGGCTACGCCCATGGTAAGAGCCGTTTTCGAGATAGAAGTAACAAAAGTATTGAAATTCCCTAATATATCGTCTGCGCCACTGTGTTGCGTACATTCGGTAATAAATACATGTATTTTGGCTTGTATAATGCATTAATTTATGTACAAGTAGTATTGCTAACTTTCTAAATTGTGATCTCCTTAAAACCACTTGGGCCTTTTCCTAAATTTGTGGGAAAATTCCCGAGTTGGCAACACTGTTTACAAGGTCATATGCAGCGTTTTAGCAAATTTGTGCCATGTCGCGGACTGTTAAAGATTAAAATTAAGTGTGTGTTTGTTATATGTTTAAAATGGTAGCTTATTTTATTAAAAATAATCATTTTGTAACAACTGAAATAAAAGCTTTATATTTTGAATCAATGTTTTTTTTATTTGTCACTGGCAACACCCTGTCAGTGTAGTAACAGATTAAGAATACAGAGTGTCACCACCCCTATTGATCCCGAGGGTATTGTAAGAGCCGACTAAGGGAGCAAACTACGCAGGACAACAGCACTGCATAAAGAAGAAAAACTTCAAACAAACCCTATATCAACCCCTCTGGCCAGCGTGGTATAGTAGGCCAAAACCTCCATTGTAAGGAGAGGCTTATTTCCAACAGTGGACTGTTAAGGGCTGTTAATGATCAGTCAAACTAGCTTTCATAGTACAAGCTCAGTTTAGTTTGAAACTAGATGGCGTTGTGTGTCAGATGTTTAATATATTATGATACTATATTCTTTGTGAAATGGGAAGCTATGCTTCGGCGTTAATGGGCGGGCTCGACCTGAGTAAGAAAACCGGTGCTAGGTAATTCTTTCTTAGCTTTTCTCCAAGTACTGGAGCCCAAACCCCTCACTTAAAGGACGGCAAAGCACCATTCTGTATGCCTGTATGCCTATAGTAGAGAACTTAAAGGTTAATCTGTCATTCAAAGGCTTTTTTGTTATGTTAGAGGGGGCAGACGAGCAGACGGGTCACCTGATGGAAAGTGACCATCGCCGTCCCATGAACGTCTGCAACTCAGGAGTCACAAACGCGTTGCCGGCCTTTTAGGAAGGAGTACGCTCTTTTCTTGAAGGTTTGAAGGTCGTATCGGTCCGGAATTACCGCAGACGACAACCCGTTCAACAGATTGGTTGTGCGGGACAAAAAGTGTCTGGAAAAGCGCACAGTAGTGGAGCGCCAACTATCCAGGTAATGAGGATGAAAATTTTGCCGTGTGGAACGATGGCGGAAGTTTGCGGCTGGTATTAGTCCGAACAAGACCTTACGGAGCGCCTTAAGAAATGAAAATAGCAAAATCGTCTGGAACTGCACATATTTTTTGCTGTGTGTATATTATGACATTTAGAAAGTGGAGTTCAGGAGTGTAGAAGCAAGGAGAAGTATCTCATATGGGCAGATAGCTGAAAAAGGGACCCAGAGGTATACTGAAATGAGAAGTCGCTAAAAACTACGATGTGAACACAGCTATTGGAGATGGAGTGAAGTGTACTGAGTTAAAATATTCAAATAATTTCGTGACCAGTGCAGTTAGTAAAATGCCAGTATCATCATCAGCCTATTTCAGTCCACTGCTGGACATAGGCCTCTCCCATTGCACGCCACTTAGATCGATTTTGGGCTTCTCGCATCCAGCTCCTGCCAGCCATCTTGCGCAATTCGTTACTCCACCTGGCCTGTGGGCCAGTATACAAAACCTCAACTATTTCACATCATCACATCAACAGCCTATAATAGTCAACTGCTGGACATAGTCTTCTTCTTAGAAAGAAGGTTTTGGCCTACTATACGACGCTGGCCAGACGGATTGGTATAAAGTTTGTGTCAAGTTTTCTTTCTTTTTGCAGTGCTGTTGTCCTGCGTAGTTTGCTCCCTTAGTTGGCTCTTACGACACCCACAGGATGAATAGGGGTGGTGACATGCCGTATTCCTAATCCGTCACCACATGGATAACTATTTACTTGATTATATTACTCTATCTTATTCTAATTACTTTTGGAGCTTTCTTTAAAATATAACCTAGGCTACCGCAGCGCCACCCTTATTGAACGCGTTTTTACTGAAACTTTTCATACACAGAGATATTTATTTTTCCATCTACCCTCCATAGTGCACATGTCATGCAAGTAAAGCATTCAATTTTGTTTTCACTTAATTATTTATCTAATCTATGCTAATATTCTAACACTGAAGAATTTGTTTGTTCGTTTGAACGCGCACATCTCAGGAAATACTGTTTCGAATCCAAATATTCTTTTAGTGTTGGATAACCCGTTTATCGAGGAAGGCTATGAGTTAGATAACATCACGCTGCAACCAACAGGAGTCGAGTATTAATGAAAACTGTTGCGTAAACGAAAATTTTATTCCTTTTGTGAGACGCAAACGAAGGGGGCACCTACAGATGGGTCGCCTCATGATAATGGGTACCCGTAAGTAACCACCGCACATGGACCTCTGTAACCCTAGTGTTAAAAAAACGTTGCCAGCTTTTGAGTTCTCCCCAGAATTATTTTGGCGGTGGTTGCTTGACGCTAAATAGGATTAGGAAATGGCAGGCAAATATTAATGACTAGCTGACCCGCGCCACTTCGTCTGCGTCTCTCAATAGTAGAACAAATTTTCTCCGTTTTTGAAACATTCTTCATTGGTGCTCCGCTCCTATTGGTCTTAGCGTGATGATATATAGCCTATAGCCTTCCTCGATAAATGGGCTATCTAACACTGAAAGAATTTTTCAAATCGGACCAGTAGTTCCTGAGATTAGCGCGTTCAAACAAACAAACAAATAAACTCTTCAGCTTTATAATATTAGTATTGATTATGTTTTAATAGAGAAACACATAGCACACGCTAATAAGTACATAATATGTGGTTATTTCCTGGTGAGGTGTGTCGTAGCAGCCAATTAAGGGAGCAAACTACGCAATACTGCAAAGACAACGCAAACTTGAAACAAACCCTTTTTTTTACGTGTGGAAACCCCCTTGGGCCGTCACCACACCGGAATTTGCGGCGGGGTGTGTGTCGGAATCGGACCGACTAAACAAACTCTATACCAACCCGTCTGGCCAGCGTTGTAGTAGGACAAAACATCTTTTCTAAGGAGTGGCCTATGTGCAGATGTAGACTATTAAAGGCTGATGATGATGATGTTAATATTTCAATATTAACGAAAGTCTGTAATTATCACCGCTGATAATTTCGTGGACTTATAAATACATAGTTTCATTTCCGTTTTTTATGATTACCATTTAAATGAATCAGACGCTATCACGTACTGACGCATACCGTTGTATGAGTTAACCTATAGGTACTTATCTATACTAATATTATAAAGCTGAAGAGTTTGTTTGTTTGTTTTTTTGAACGCGCTAAT